ATTGTAGAAATTTGTAGTCAATTTGTATTATATACATATACAGGATAAAATTGGGTGTTGTCAAATTGCTAGCAGAGCGATGTCAAAAACGTATTTCAATTTAGTCATAAATCCCGCAAAAGTCTCGTCACTGAATCTTATCCTAAGCATGTGAGGATAACTTTGAAGTAGTATCGGCGTATTAAATCAATACTTTATTTAGTAATATCGTTTGTTTTTCATAAATTTCGACATAATGCATAATTGTGATACATTTTTATCCCAGCAATTACTATTCAAATGACTAACTGTTTCTTGTTTGCGTTTTTAATTACTGTTGATATTTTTACGCCGTTAACGTACACGAACATGAAGGTTATAAAAACAAACGCGGACAGGTGATTTCAGTAATATAAATTAATAAAGTTGCATCCTGCGGCGATGCCTTCCTATTAAATACACCACGGGAGCAAACATCGAGGCTCATTACAATCACCTACAAGTATTTTATGAATCTCATATAGTCTCAAAAGGTTTCTTAGTGTCTTAGACGATAAAAGTTCTTATTCGATCTTCAAGTGACATGGAATTTTCTCATTCTTGGAATTCATTTCATAAAACGAGCCGTAGGTATTATTATTACATCAAGAGTTAATCAATATATAAAGGCTTTAAAGGAATATGTTTTTATCTGTATATAATTAAAATAATAGAAACTAATGCAACCCAGGCAGCTAGGTGAGGGGTACCGGGTTCGATTCCCGGCTCGAGGGCAAGTTTTAATTTAATTTAAATTTGTTCTCGGCCTTTGGGAGGGTTGTGGGGTACCGGGCGAGTGCTTAAACCGTACATGGAGGACACGGTCGAATTTCTAAGACAAGGATGAATTATAAAAATCTTATATACCTACTTGACGCTGGCTAATGCACAAACCGTGCCAGAGCAAGGAGAGATGGATGACTCTTATACATAGAGTAATATGAAAACCCTACCTGTTTCTTTATTCATTAAATAAGTATTTTGAAAATCAAATTTGATAAAATATTAAGCTCCAAATTACTATGAATGACGTAGGTATATTTACTTAATACTATAGCTATATATATATATAATTTATGATGTAATGATGCAATAAGCCAGTAATTGATAAATATCCAGTCTTACACTAATGAGTATTAAATAAATATTCAATGCGTTTGTTATGACATTAATACGACAAAATTGCAGCGCACTTATTATAAATATTTTGAAAATTTTCTCTGTAGTTGCTTCCAGAAATTTGTCGGTTTAACTTTGCTTATTTGTTAACTGTAAATGTTTGGTGCAATTCTATTGGTATATTGGGTCGAAAAATAAATATTCAAAAAAATAGTGTTTTATTAATGATAATCCACGATATTTTTAGCGGTTATTCTGTCAATCGCTGACAGTTATATAAACTTAATATCTTCCTAAAGTTTTCTTTCATAAGAACCTTTCAAACAATAATAAACACGACAAAAAATAATTAGCAAAATTATTCCATCCGTTCACGCGTGAACCAATGGATAGATATTTATAGATGTATCACTATATATAACAGATACACGATTATTATTTAAAGAACTTCATCAAAAACATAAGCCTATTTTAACATAACTAGCTAGAGTGCAATCTACAAATTAAAATTTTATGTTAATTTTCGGAAATACGTTTTTAATTACAGACGCAACGGTATACTTGTAATTTTAACAATATTCATTAGACTCAAAGAGCCGTTCATTAATCATTAACATTCTAACAAGTAGCAATTTACTATTAAATGTTATTTTCAGTTTCAAAAGAATTCACACACCATTTGTATGAAATGTCGATTAATCCAAAAGCACGCCAAGGTGATTATAATTATAATGAATTGTATGAAATGATTTTTTTAGGTGACAAATTGTGCACAAAAAACTACAATTTTGTATTCATACCGATAACAATGTTTTAATATCAATTAGAGTAGCAGCCCTTGATCAGCTTTTGGAATCACTTAAGTATTTCTCTCGTCCTATAGAATCGCTATTAGCGTCCATAGAAAAAAAACTATCAGAGCACAGCCAGGTTAGAAGGTCGTCCGACCTGCCGAGTAGGTTTATCACACCTTAACGCTACAGTCTACAGACTTTTTAAATATTACATTAAAATTAAAATTGTGTTAATTTTTTAAAACATAGCTCACACTTCACAATAATTATAATGATATTTAGTTATTCTGAACAATTGTCTACTTAATTTAAACCCATAACTTTATTTGATAACTAGATATAACGTTAAAATTTGAATAATTAAAATCTTTTTTTCTTAGTCAAAGCTTTATCAAGGCCCCGTGAACTACAGGCCCTTATTGTACTAATCTGTGGCTTTCTACAAACGCTAATAAAATTATTCAGCGCCATTCATAGAGGTAAGTTACAAGGCTCGAATGCTATTTTTATTGGAATACCGAGGGTTGATTAATTCGTCGGTTTCATGGACTTTTTGTTCCACAATTAGGCACGATATACACGCATAGGCTGCGTGGATATTGAACGCGTTTGCGAGTGACCTACGTTATTTCCGGGTGAAAATTTATTGCTCATTACAGTAAAAACCAAAAATTTTACATTAAAATGCTAATAATACAATCTTGAGGCATTTCAATTAAGTAAATTTAATTTGTGCCATAACGTGGATAAGATCTTATGGAAAGCTAATTAGGGATAGTTTTTCGTCAGTTGGTCCATCCATCATGGGGCCACGCCCTACCGGTTCCACTAGGCTGCTCTTTGCTCTCTCGTACTGTTTACTATTACTTTTTACAATTAGTAAGCTAATTATAGCCTTTGGCTTGCGTTTTAAATTGAAATAAGTAGATATTAATAGCTGTTTTGTTTGTGTCTAAGTTGTGTCTACGTCCGTATATAGGAGACCTCAATCAGGAAAATTTGTTTCAGGTATGAAAGAAATTGTTACATTACTCCTCTCATACAATTACGGTGTAATTGTATTAATATTTTTTTTTTACTTTTTTGACAAATTAATTGAGAAATTATTTATAGAAATTCCATCCCGAAGATGTAAAAAAAATATGGAAAAGCTTTTACGGGTATGTCTTAGTAGGTAATTTTTGTATTAGTAAGTTTTCATTTGCATTAATATTAAGATACGATCAGAAAATATGTAAAAAAATGCATGAGCGCTGATGTATAATATACACAAAGATTGACCTTTTATACGAGAAACATTCGAATAAATAAACAATTCTGACAAGTAACAAAACGATATTGATATTATAAACAAACGGTTGTCTGATAATCAATTAATACCAATCTATCCATTTAATGTGGATAAAGATTTCGTATGGCAATGTATGCGGTAGGGGTCTGTTAACACTGGTCGGGTGATGCCATTTGATTGCACCTGCGCAGGTATGCTAAGCCGGCTGTCATATGACATGTGCGATCGTTGGCTCTCATTATGCTACCCGAGGTGTCCGCGATGCAAGTAATTTCAGGTAATTCTATTAAATTGCCCAAAGCTATGTAATATCAGCAAATACTGACGCTTTTTGAAGTGAAACTTCTTTAGGCGCATGAGGGTAAAACTTTTACGGAACGTCACGAAGATGTGCAGCGTTTTTGTCGAACAAAAGGGAGAGAGCGTTTGAGACCGATTGAGAGACAGAGTGAGATTAGGGTGAATTACCTGATAGAAATTATATTTTAAAATTAAAATTTCGTATAGAAAGAGACGAATTATAAATTAAAATGCTACGTGTTTTTATTATCGAAGAAATAAATTTTAAAAAAAATTTATTATTTTAATTAATTTTCGGCACTTTTAATATTTTAATGACAATTAAATTCAGAACATATATCTTCCATTTTCCCTCCCTCTAAGTCTCTAAAAACTAAAGTTTTAGATTTGTATAAATATGAACAAGAGTTGAAAATTAGTTTGCCAAAGAAGTTTCACTTCTGACATGTGTACTTTGTACGCACGCCTTTTTTATCCTAGAACAGGGTTACTTAACAATTTTTCCCTCTTTAGGAACCTTCGGCAGGGTCTTTCTGTAAGACGATTTGACATCAGCTCAATAGTACCGTCATTTAACATACAATTTTGATGCTGATGTCACGAATATTGACGGAAAGATGGGTTCGCTGGAATTGAAGTACAGACTATGCCTGCATTTCCTTAAACGAATGATGGGACAGCAAAGTAAAGAAACCTACCTATATCTTCAACTAGATTTAACGATGTATGTCTTGCTTATTCTAGAATATTCTACAAAACAAAGTGTAAATTATAAAAAGAATGAATATTGATTTTGCTGATAGTACATGGAAGTGACAACATTTATGTAAAACCCACGCGATGCCTACAATTATCTCCAGTATGAGAAACCAAATGTTCCTGCAATTATGACCCTTTAACTACAGAGAAATATTTTTTAAGTACATTCTCTAAGTAAATTTAATCATCATAATAGGTACTACTTGTTAACGTAATATATAAACATATAAGTAAGTCGCGCTACAACCTTTTTAGGTTTCTCAGATTTCTCTGTATCTGTTTCATGATCATTTGTCAATCTAATCGTAGGTGATCAGCCTTCTGTGCCTTGACTTTTCGGGTCTAAGGCAGGTTTCCTCACGAGTTTTCCTTCACCATTCGAGCGAATGTAAATATGCAGAAAAAAAGGCCATTGGGCCACAGCCGGGGCTCGAATCTACGACCTCAGGGATGAGAGTCGCACGCTGAAGGCACTAGGCCAACACTTAACATATTTAAAATATTCAAACTACTTTTATTATATGTTGCACAACTATTTTAGAAGAGTCTATCACTTGTGTAACCAGAGTCAAACTCGAATATTAAATATTAATGTCTGTTATAAAACTTATAATTTATGTAGGTAAATAAACCTATTGGTATGTTAACGATTAGAGTTCACTTACAAAACACACTTAAAATGCAAGCCACGTACTCCAAGTAATTAATCATTCAATTAATTATGAGGACTCCATAAACTTTATAGGATACTTTTTAGACCAATACAATATAAAGTAATTAGCTATAATAAGCGTAAATACCTGTCCGTTTTTGTCCATTTCGTTGTTGGTGAGTTTGACCTTCTCAAAAGAGACGACCTGTTTGCGCAGCTGGTCGCCCGAGAAGGGAGAGTCAGGGTGCGGGTAGAGACGCGCGGGCGCGGGGGGATCCGCTTTGCCCGCCACCAGCCATGACGAGCGGTGGTAGGCGTAGCGGTAGCGTTTGCCATCCACGGGCACCACGTCTAGTAGAACGCCGTAACGCGCCTCTGCGCGGCATCCCGCGAATGAGACACGCACCGTCGGGAACATGCGTCTGTGGCAAAACAAAGCAATATTTAAATATGGAACAGCTGTGGTCAATCATCTCGCGGTTGACAGGTGAACTAAGATAACGTCTGTGGTAAACCTAATACATTCAAATACATACATATGTGGTTGCAATCTGTAGACTATCAACTGTAACGCATGATCGACACGAGATCTAGGTTATAAATGTGCAACACTTTTACGAAAGACTACAATATATATGTCCCAGATATTTGATTTATTTCATGGTTTTTTTTATTGTCCTTTTCATTGTTTACATATGTTTTAATTGAATTGTTTTGTTCCATTATTTATGTCTAAGTATTGGTACATTTTACGTAGTTTTGCACTTCCTGTTCATTTATTTTTCTAATTTCCTTACAGTGGTTTCCCTCCTTTCTATTTAATTATTGTACTTTGTATTGTATTATTACTTACAACGAAATGTCAATAAATAAAAAGAACAAAACGATAATGCGTGGTTGTAACTTTGTGTATCGCAGTTTTACTGCTAACCGTCAAAATTAAGCAAAACACATGGTGTTTAAAAAAAATGTTAATGTATCTCGTCAAAAAACTAATAAAGATTCGGCAGCGGACGGTGACTCGTATAATTACAGGGTGAAACGCGAACTGGGAAATCAAACAAATATGATGTATTCGATTTTAATGCACCCCTAAATGGAGCGAAGCGCTTCCTGCCGGCCCACGGCGATAACATCGCTCAACATTTTTTATTGTAAACGCTTTTATAATTCCGAAGGCTAAACACGAAATCATAGATAACCTCAAAATTGTTTGGATCTATAGATTGTAGAATCATAAAGAGTGAAAGGATGAATTATAAGCTTTCATAAAACACGGACGGTGTCAACCATCCAATAGCGTAATAAATGCGAGAAACCTATAAAATTCCTCAACCCGACGATAAGGCACGGTATTGTTGGTATCGTGGTCATAAATAAATCGTATTAAGGAGCGTTTTGAATGTTGATCCGTATCCGAGATGGCCGTCGACAATAAGTCGCTGTCAGTGTCGTTTATGAGTGTGTCGTTAAGCGGTGTCGCGGGCATGCGCCACCCAGCGAGGCTCTCTAATGAGATACATCCATCACGGGTTGCAATCGATCGCGATTTGAATACCACAAACAAGTCCTGATTAAACGGGCGAACTCAGCGAACATTTTTCTCCTCGTAAGCACAATGAATCACACGTGTGGAACATCTTTAAAGACTAAGCAGAAGTATTTTTAGTTTTGGCGAATACTTCTGTGATGCGTAAAGCCTTATTCAAATGTATTGTTTCCTAATCAGGCTTTGCGATAGAACTATTCCACGGATATTAATACCCATAAACCTGTTGTCGAGAGACTACTTTGTAATATCATTAACATAATAATAAAAAACGTTACACGATTTCTGCTGATAAGCGTTATAAATAATGGAGAATTGTTAGGGAAGTTAAACTGCCTACTGCAAAAACTATGGTTTTTATTCAAAGTTTACAAAAGGTTTAAATAAAAATGATACCAACGGTTCATAATAATCTGTGCTCGTAATATTCTGCAGTTGGCAAATGGATGACCAAGATAATTGACCTTAACTATAAAGTGAACTCAATAAAAATTATTCGAGTGTAACAGTCGAGAATAAGTAATTACAGTATTTAAAAACCTGCTTACACGAAGAGTCTGATTAATAATTACTGTAACGGACAAGAGCTACTTTGACTACGAAAACCATAGATATGTTTTCATTTTTAATTTTTCGAGAAAAATTGACATTTGTGAGTACACCTACAGAAAAGTTACGCACATGTTTCAATATTTGTGCTGCAAAAACCGCAAGTGACAAAAAAGTAACGTAAGGGATGTAATTTGTAGTTGAGACAAATTATACCTAACCACTTCCGGTAGAAGGCGACAAAATTACTGCCTTTTTCTATACGTTTCTTATAAGTAGATGTCACGACAACTTTTAACTTACATTGCGGTCACGTTCTTTATTTAAATATCGTATACACATTCGAATTTCAAAATTGTGCTGTTCACTGTAGCACATTTTGCGCTAAAAAATTCGTAATTAATCTTGCACCACCTAACAATAAAAAAATATTTACATAGTTTATTGAAGATTTATTTATAACTAATATCTAACTGTATAACAAATTAATTCAGTTAAATTGAAACATCGCAGGAAGTCTCCGATGACAATATTATATAGAGAAATCGTGAAAAGCCACTTGTTACATACAACACTATTAATACTTGACATAGAAATATGGAACGTTGATAAAGCATCGCGTATTATTTTACGCCAGTCAATTATATACACGGCTCATATTAGAAGCATGACTGGTTTCCATGAAATGTCATCCAACAGACAGAACTCGCACGCAACTCGATACTGCATCCCATTTACACTTAATAATGAAATGACTGTGACCTTTAGATAATGATAATTACTAGTTATCATTATAATGTGAAGATCTTATGAGAGTGCTTATTTAATTGGGAATTAATGTCATAACGCACGTGCGGTGTCAACTGTGTCAATCCTGCATCGCATTACATCGTCTCTCACTATGCCACGTGACCGTACATGATACTTCTCTAATCTGGAGGGTGTCAGAATGAATTTCACTACGCAGATTACTTTGTTAATGAGTAGTGAAATTCATTCTGTAGTGTAACCTTATTTTAACTCTGTGTTAAACTGTTACACTACAATAATTAATGGAGTATTTTTTTATTCAAAGACATTGTTTTTTTTTAATAAATTACGTTAGGTGATTAGATAAAGGTTTATTTTAATTTTTACGTCATTTTATATTTATTATATTATTGTGTCGTGTACGTAAACAGCCTAAAGTAAAATATCAAATTACGTTTAAGTTATAACGTATAGAGCCTTTATTCCGTAACTTGTTTAATAAGTTGGAAATAGGTTTAAAAATTCAAATTCGGAGTCACGCAAACTGTCAGTTCCAAAGGCTCAAAATACGCGAACTGACGGCTGATACGTTTTGTCGTCTCCCGGGTAATCGTGCGAAATGGGGCTCTCGTTTTATTATAAACCGTCTTGACGTTTAAATAAATAAGAGGAACAACCCGCCATTCGCAATTTGTGATTGAATGAGTGACAGGCGATTAATTGGGCGAGGAAGACCTGTTTAAGACATTTACGGTACACATGAAAAATAATGGAGACATAAATATTGTGAAAAGTGACGTTTTGTTAACGACCAGCGCAAGTAGCGGCGCAGCGGGGCGCCACAGGCCGACCAACGCCTAATTAAAAATTCCTCTTTGTTTTTCCAAGACTATATATGTAATGTTTGATTATTTAAAGCTGTTAAACATTAACATTCTAGTCACCTTCAACACTTGAGTATTTATGTTGTATTGGGTTTTTAGGTTAATTAAATTTTGGGTTAAAATCGAATATTTAAGCATTTTTCAGTACATTTTAGTACACCTTACTCTCTCTTTAATCGGCAGTTCATGTCTGAGAATCATAGTCAGCAAGAAAGCGTCTGGAGCGGACTATCTGTTTCCACCGGTTTTCAGCGCGTGTCTTATGACAGAGTACAGTTTTGAGGACGATGAGTCTTTCACTAGATCGGTCCATCTGGTTGGTGAACGGCCACGTGATTTTCTGCCTACTGTGTTACCACCACGATGAGTTTCTGCAAGTTCTCATTTGCGCATTTTTTTAAATTCGAAATAGGTATGCCGATTTCACGATGCTTTCCTTCACCGTGCGATCCATTGATGCAGAGCTGAGGATCGAAACTACGACCTGAAGGTTGAGAGTCACACACTGCTCCAATCATTGAACTATACACAAAAATAATGATTGAATTCGTAACAATAGTCCCGGAGAGTGCATTCAAAATCTGCAAGTTTATACCATGTTATAGGGCCTTTGAAGGCAGGTGATTTCCATGTCTAGCAAAGCCAAATCATTGTATACAATTCACGAAGGCGGTTTAGAAATTTAATTAAGATGATTCAATAAATCAATCGCAATTAACAAGAATCTAATCTGCTAATCAAGAAGTTCACCGGGCTTCGATTTTGACATTAGTAGTCATAAACGGTTTCCGATTAAAACATAACACTAATTAATGTTAAACACCCATCATAAAGCAGTTAAAAGTTAACAAGGTGCTCCTTAATACTTTATCGGTGAAATCTTAAGTTCGGCTTCGTTCGACCATAAGACGTTTCCGGTTCCTTTACGACGAAAACTTCTATTGTTATTATCATAAATTTGGACTGTTATAAATGCCATTATCTTGTTTCATAAAAACTACATGCTAATACTATAAATGCGTAAATTTTTTTAATAACATCAGCTACAGATGAAAACTTCTCCGCAAGAAAAAAACCGTCCTTTTTTATCATATTGTATCGCGTAATACTGAATTTTTTTTAAATTAAAATACAGAGCAAAAAAGCTTTCTCCAATTATACTTACTAGAATGTTAATAAAAACTGTAAGAGATTTAGGATTTATTAAAGTTCATTAAAAACTTTATTATCTGTTGTAAATCCGAGTCCTCGGGCCGAGATTACATTGTAATTATCTGTTTTACACGCTCTTAACGGCTTCATTTTGCTAATGACTGTTCCTGTCCTTTTTGTTCAAATTTGCAAAACATTTTCTGAGCATCTTAAACGTTATGGAATTTACCGAATCAAACAGTTATACTGACTTTCATTTGAGGAACGACATATAAACTTTGCATATGTTATTTTTTATTAATATTGTCTACTAAATAAAAACTAAAAGTGTTCCTTGTATTAAACGCGAATAATATATTATCCGAACTGCTTTTTCAACTTGTTTTTAAGCGGTAGCGTGTTGTCAACAAAAAACTCGACCTAACACGAAACTCAACACTATTTTTTATCTATAGACACATAATTACGGTCACAGACTATTAATTATTTGAAAGAGTTTGTAAACCTCTTTGGATTTGTAAAATTTAAAAAAAGAATTTGTAACCAGCCATGATGTGCGAATATTATCTGGTTCGTTGTCGGCGCTTCAATTATCACATCAGCATAATGCCAACTATAATAATATCACGCACAATTATAAGTGCATTAGCGTCACCATTTATCGCAAACCTGCATATAAAGGAAACTAATTATTTTATTTTTACTTTATAAAACAATTTACACGTCCAAAGATTAAATTAAAAGCAAATTATGTTCTTTGGGTTTGATATTTGTTAAAGGGTTAGAACAACGAGAGAAAAAAGTTTCGTTGGAGAAATGCATTTGCAGTAGCTTTTTTATGCTTGACACATCGTTTTTTTTTACATTAAGTTTTTCTATATCATACGAAATATTCCACATCGAAAGAAATTTATATTGGTTTATTTATTTAATAGTAATGTTACAGCTAACATATCTACATATTATAAAATAAAACACTTAGACAATATACAAAGCCAAAACGGACTACATAGAAAAACAATATATATGAAACAGAAAACATAAGTAAGTTAGTGTAGAGCACTCTTAACCACCGTTGTTTAATGATATTCAGTATTTAACAGAAATTCTTGTAAACTTTGAAATAGATAATAGTTTATACGTTGTAATTACAGAATAATCATTTTTTGTAGTTGCAATCAACCAACTCGTGCATATTAAATGCTAGTATAAAATATTTACTAATAAACATATGTAGATTACAATATATCGATTAGTTTAAAGTAGTTCAAGCGTAAAATCGTCATAACAGTTGATGGAGCGTATCAGCCTGACAGCGGACAGGCGCAGGTGTCTTCGTCAAAATTAATATTCCGCACAAGTACGTGCTACTGACTCAAGCCGCTTGCTAAATGATAGAACAGAAATTTAAATAACAGTTGAAGTTTTCTTGATGTTCTTTATTTAAAATTTATTTGTCTATATTGGAAAGATTTTGTCTATAGCAGTCTATGTTATATTCGTATCTATGTACTAACTACTGTTCAATTATTTTCTAGATAAATCTTAACACATATATTAATTATAGTTCTTACTGTAATATACTCTTGCCCTTTTTGTTACCTCTTATTTATTTCAAGAGATTTTAGTTATTTCCAGAGAGAATTTAGGCAAATAGTTTTAATATCCTTAGTTTATTATTTTTATAAGGAACAAACCGCCACCCATGGACACTCAAAGCCAGAGAATTCGCGAGTGCTTGCTGGCCTTTTAAGAGTTTTTTATACATAGAGAAAATAAATCGAAAACAAAACACGACTCGATTGTATATTGTTTTTATTTTTTAGAGCCGTCTTGTCCGTATGATAATGAAACATTGTTTACATAGCTATTACGGCCTACCGGGAGATCCGTAGCGGAATTCGTCATAATCGAGTCATTACGTCAAAAGAACTACACGTGACATGAACGGTTGTCAACTGTATGATGGATCGTTGTACCTCCGCGGTATGAGCTGAAAAACGTAGGGTTACCTCTTCTATAAAATATATGCAATCGCATCACGAACTTAGAAACGCACGGTACCCATAGAAAAGAGTCGTAAAAATACTATTTTCTAAATCCATGCACAATACGGTGAGTCAAAAATCATGACTGATTGACAAGCATATGGCCATAGGTTATGTTAAATATAAAAACTATTTATACGATAACGAATAAGTATCGCAATAAAGCGAGGAAATGCTGCTAGCATTAAAGGTACACTGCCACAGAGACCAAACTATAAATTTGTTTCAATTTTCTAATCTATTACTATGTCGGTTAAGAATATTGTAAATACTTTATACGATTCCTATGCGTGATAAACAAAAGTTTATAAGGTTTTGACACGTAGGTAGATATTTTACGACACACAAACTTTAATAGCTAATACATTAAAATCTATATAACAAATACGAATGAAACTATTAGTTCTACAAACTTAAATCCATACTTTTGATGTAAGAAAGGGTTTAATGGTGTGAAGACATTAGCACAGAAAATAAAAGACTAGAAAACCTGAACTGGTAACCCTAAGTGAGGTGAGCTGTGACCGAAGCTGAGGTCGTTATGACCATTACTGGTGATGGATCACCGCCGCCGGCGCCGAACATCGACAAATTTAATTTAGCCTAATGCTGTGATAAAGTGATTATAAGCATTGATTAGCTTGCAATAATTAAGTTGTTACCAACTTTAGTGATAATAGGTTAAATGTAAAGACTATTTATTGATAATAATGGACAGGATGACTGGGAATCTTTGGTTGTTACATGTTTAAAAACCACAAATATTCCTGACGTTTAATTGATTTACAATAAATTACGATTGATTAGACTCAAAATAAATCTGACAAGGACCTTTACAGACAATAATTAATAATAGAAAAATAAAAAAGTGCGTGCGTACAAAGTACACATGTCAGAAGTGACACTTCTTTGGCAAACTAATTTTTAACTCTTGTTCATATTTATACAAACCTAAAACTTTAGATTTCCGAGACTTAGAGGGAGGAAAAAAGGAAGATATTTTAGGAATAAAATATTAAAATAAGAATATTAAAAGTGTCGAAAATTAATACAAATAATAAATCTAATTTATTTCTTCGATAATAAAAACACGTGGCATTTTAATGTACAATTCGATATTTGAGATTTCAACAAATTAATTTGCATTTTTTAAGCATACAAGGTGTAGTGTTCCTTCAACCTAACAGGACGATCCTTGACCAGGCCAACCTCTGACTGGCCAGCCCGTAGGCCCCAGTGACTAAGGTCCAATTGTATGTATACCTTTAGAGAATAAACTTCGTTAGTGCATTTCAGGGTATGACGTCATCGTTGTGACTTGTAAGTGTCGCTATAAAGGTTTCCAGTTCTCTCGTCTTTCGTGCCATAGGAGCTATATGGGCATCTCTTTAATTTCCACGAGTGTCAAGTAAGAATACACGCGTGTTAAAATACTAAAAGGATATAAAGTTATCTCTAGATTCGACGCTGCCCTATCAAATGTTCCGCACGTCATCTCAACATGCACGTTGCGATGGTTAACACGCAAACATTCCGTCGTATTCAATTTCACACAATTATTCCCACACCGCCGTTGAAAAGTTTATATTTTGTAATAATTTTGCTAAATAACGTTCATAAAAAGTTTCGCTTCAACCGTTTAGATCTGGGACTCATTTCTGTGTCTGTTACATGATCATTTGTTTTTTTCTAATAGGAATCTGTCTGTGCCTGCCGTCGACTAAGGTTTCTTCACGTTTTCATCTCATCTAGTTTTAAATGTGCACATAGAAAGTCCATTGGTGAACAGCGGGGGATCGAACCCATAACCTTAATATTACCTACCTTATAACACCTGTTACGTAACACTTATAATATAAATTTGAAACAAGGTGTCTTGTGACATTGAATCAATTATATATTTCTGGAACATTCTCTAATGTGAGGAAAGAATTAGAGAGCCCCACAAGAGAAGAAGACAGCTTATACCACTGATACCACGGTTTCTTACCGTTCGGTAAAAGAGTATAGACCCAACTGTGAGAGATCACTGCCACCATTAGCAGCAAGAAGTATTTACTAAATACTATTTAGCGTATTATTCCGACAGCGGCAGGAGTACCTTTAAGTTCCGAATCAAAACCTGTTTAATTTTCATAATTATTTAAGCAATTTAAATTGTCACGAGAACAAAGGAAAATTTTCTTACCGCACAAAACATTACAGCTGTTCAAGATTTGTATCAGAGATATACTTATATATATCTGTTATATCAAAGCAAAAGTTGACATATACGTATATATATATGACATATTTATGAGATACCATGAAGATTATATATACTAGCGGACCCGACAGACATTGTCTCGTACAAAAACAACTAAACCATTCTCGAATCCACTTGAACACACACAAAAAATCAAAATCGGTCCAGCCGTTTACGAGGAGTTAAATTATAGACACACGCACCGAATTATTTTCCTAATTTGGACATCCTTGTAATTCAATTACTTACGATTATTAATATTATTTTTAACATATTAATAAACATTGTATTACAGTTGCAGTTTCCATAAAACATCGGTTTAATTCCTTGACATATAAAATTAATACCGTAATTTCATTTTAATGTCATAACGTTTACAGGTCGCAAAGTTACTACTTTATATTGTGGCAAAGTGTTATAAACTTTAATTGCTCTGTGTAGCTACCGTTGAAAATCAACACCAACATCAGAATAACATTGACATCGTTTTTTTATTTATTTCCACACGATATTTTATTCCATAACAAGACAGTTGAATTGAGAACTGAACTGTCAATACATAGACAATAGTGTTATATACCTTCGTAGCATTTTTAATTAAAAATATAAGCAAGACTCCGTGGATGTATTTGAAATAAATTGATATATATAGTAGAATATTGTTCGAAATTCAAATATTATTCGTGTTATACTAAATGTTTATCTATGCTTTTCTCAGCAACTGACACTATGGTCGAATTAATACTGGACGAAAATTTAAACCATTTAGGAGACTCAAGAAAAGAAAAAAGTTCTATACGGGTCAAATAGGTAATATAATTATTACATAAGCGCAATTTCATTTCTAAAACTCTTTTCTGTGAAACAATTGCTTCGCGAAATATGGTAAATGTCTATGTATGAAGGGTGGCGGGTGGTAAATGCAGTTGGTTGGGGCGATAACAGGCGGTGTACGGGGAGGCTTTGGGGTATGGGGTGCTGGGGTAGACGTCGTCGAGGAGCGTCGGAGGCTGCGATCGATGAAGCGCGGACACGCCTCGCGCACCTCGCGACCGCAGCCCACACCGCAACAATGTCGATTCTCAAGCCTCACCAACGATATTCTCAAGCCTTCAAGCTTTCAACCGCTTTCGACTAGTGGCTGTCATAAATCTATAGAGAATTTTGAAACCTTATGAAGTTAAAACTACATGTGTAGTAGCTGATTCCAAAGTTCAGGACGCTACAAAAAGGTTATTTAAGTACGGCATACTTTATCTTAACGAACATACAATATGGAAAATAATATCGAATATTAAAAAACCACAACCCATCAAGTGGCACTCCTAATCTGAATCTCGTAATAAATCTAAATGTTTGCAAATATAATAAAAATAATCTCCGTGCGGCTTGAATTCATAAGTGCTGATTACAAAGCTAATTCGAAATTGCCCCTTACAAATGAGAGGATTAGTTTCTTAATAACTTTATCAACCTATCTGAAACTGACAAAACGGTTAGCTAAGAACTCGATAAGTCGACAGGGACAAAACGACCAACACATCACTCAAACGGACATTCAGTGAGATGAGATTGTGTATGCCATAAGCAGCCGAAATCATATAAGCATAAAGTTCACATTACCATGAAAGCAAAAGAAACAAGGTATTGGAATTCGAAATTTAAAAGGATTCCGATCTGTCACCGATAACGTGCTAGAGTTTAGTGACAGTCGGACGCGTACTTGTAAATCGAGAAAATAATAGTCTTAATAATGAAGGCGGATTTGCGAGACAATAATATTTATCTAATCAAACTATCAAAGTTTTTTGGTGCCTTCATTATAATCACAAAGTAATAACCACGAAACTTAAATGTTTAATGGGGCGCCTGTCAAAATTACCGCAGTGTAACGCGACTAATGTACATGAAATACCTCCTTAGGGTTGGTAAAAGCTTGTTTATACAGCCCTATGTAAGGTTCCACTCCGCTTGTTAATAAGGGCTGGCTAAAGCCGGGGACGAATTCGTTTAAGAGGGATTTACTTTGAAGATCTGGAGACTGTTTGTCAGGACTTACGGAACATATTCTTTACAAAGTATTTTCACTACCGCCGAACTAAATAAGAGTTCGGCAAAAATGTAAATATCAAACATTAAACATTAAAACAAGTGACAGGAATGTAGGCTACATCGATTAAGATATTCCGGCATTACAAAATTTTAGTCGTAATTATTATGAAGTGTCAAAAACTGCTATAATTATGAGTTAATTATACTTTTAATGACTTGCAATTCGCGATCATAAAACGAGTTTCATAATTGGCAGGGGTTTTGAACCTTTGCACCTTGTGAATAAATCATAATTGACTACTGGGTTTCTTCAGTTATTCAATTATAAATTTAAATCTATTTGTAAATTAGCATTGTTTGAATATGATTTTTAACTTATTTAATAATACAAAGCACTCCATGTCTTACATTTTTGCTTTAAATCATTACATGCGCCACATATTTTAAACACTAGAATCTTTTGAATGTGTCCAGGATTTATTATCTCTTTCAAAGACTGTTTTGTTTCACTGTCTTCAGTCTGAGATCAGCCTTCTGTGGCTGTCTAAATCTTGTTAGCTTTTAATATTTATTTAATTAAATTCTAAACATTTTTTTATGAAACATATTCTTAAGAATCTTGCTACAAGTGCGCACGTGCAATAGTTACTCATTTGACTCGTTCGGTTATTTACGATTTGTTACGAATTGATGGTCGGATCGGAGTAGGGAATAAAATCAAAATGAAAAATCATTTAATCATATGGGTAATCATTGTACACTTATGACTTGTCAGTAAAGAAATACATAATATTAATGCTTCTAATTTTATATTTAGTGCCAGTTCTCAAATCAAGGGCGTAGAACGGAAGAGAAGAACTGGCAATAAACTCTCCGCCACTCTTTTTAATCGCCACTTTTTTTTTTTTTTTACACAAAGTTTGTAAGGAGCTGCAAACATTAATAGTATTATATTCTATAATCTTATAGAGGTTGTAACACACGCGCACGGGCAATTCCTTTGTTCAAGTTTGAAGTTATAGAGTTTACGTAAAATCAAAGTGAATTATAGTGAATCAAGTCATCATCGGAGTGTTTAATTTCCTACCCTAGGATCAACTAGCCCTTACAAGTCAGAAGTGGGATAGCAATCTTTAGCAAAATTTATATTCAATATAGCGGTTTCATCGAGAAATAAACACGCTCTCGCATTAACATTTTTTTCCTATACGTATTTAGCACAGTAATAGTATGTTTTTAATGTCAATCGAACATAGCGGTTTGAGACCCTTCTAGTGTCCGTTTTCACCTGTTAAAATGTGGGTGGCATGGCCTACAATGGTGTTTGGGTTGGCATTCGTCACGGGGCGTCACTCCGGCCATGATTGATGACCTGCCTTCACAAAGCTATGTGAATATGCATTGCTCAACTTTTATCTAGAACAATTACTAAATATAAGGAAGTACGTTCATAAATCATCTTTGTTTTTAAAATACATATTCATAGGATTATAAAAATCCAAAACATTTTTAATCATTTTTAATTTAGCACTGGCTTGTAATTAAATATGTTTTTCAATTAAATCTGACGACGTGTTATATAAATATTAACGGTGTTAAAATTTTTTACGATCGAATTATAATTATAAGGATGTAAAACTTCGTAACAGTAGCGTATGGAATAAATTTCCGCTGGCACATTTCGCGTTATAGCATTATAATTAGTCAATTATTGTTTTTGCCTACAGTACACCTCAATATGAAGCGTGATTATAAATTTGCTAGGTGACATAACTAGTTCCCATGGGGGATGGGACGGGTTTTGAAATAGGATGTTACTTCTGTGGACAGGTTAGCCCCATCTCGCCTTCCTCGGACAAACAAACGCTGGGCAGTGTAGACGTATGATATTCCATAAAGTGTCTCCAACTTTGATTTTGTTTCCTTAGTGTCTTAAAGTAAGGCAATAATTAAAGTTATATTTTTCCGTTAAAAGTATCGCAATAAGGCGAGGAAATGCTGCCAGCGTTAAAGGTACACGGCCATGGAGAATAAAGTTTGAATTAATTTTAATTATTATTAGATATTATTACTATGTTGAAATATATATTTATTGCAATGTTTGATTTTCCATAAATTTATTACAAGTGTTTTACGAAAATATAGTTAATTTTTCGCAAGTAGTTATGAAGTGAGACTTATAATGTTAGTCGACAGATACTTATTAAAATAACAAAGTACTCATAGCAAATTATTGCTTCAACCTATTTATAGCTTTTTTGCGAGGAATAAATATTCTTTGTCAACTATCTGGCCGTATACGTTGTTTGTATACTTAGCAATGGGATTACATCACGCGATAGTGTCTATTTGTTTGAGAGATGCAGGTGTAGGTTGAATTCGGTCCGGTTAATGAGCCGAATGAACGCGTAACCCGACGCTCACCTGCCTTTATGAAATAATTTTTATTTACGTAGCCCTCCGGGGATTATGAATATTCCGGTATCAGTTCCATCGGACATATTATGTTACAGGTAACCTATGAAGATCCATAATTCACTTCGGATGACGCGTCGATATTTCTAACACCTAAGGTAGTCGGGTTTTGAATTTCGAATTATGTCATTACTCTAAAGCTATCGCACTGATAAATAAAATAAATGGTTGACGTCTTTGAATACGTGTTGTCAAATACATTTTAACCGATTTAATAACGAGGTTCTTTGTATGGGGATGTGCTGAGGTTTTCAAGCACCGTATCATATTGCAACCGTTAGTGTAAATATTTTCTCGATTTTTTTTTATTCAGGGAACAGTTTCAACAAAATTTGGCCGTATACGTTTCGTATAATATAAATCTACCTAGGTATATATTGACAGTTATTTAAAATTTTACTAACAAATTTTATTTTTTTCTCAATATCACGTGCTAGAAGGTTATAAAAACATTTTGAATGTCCTTTCACACTTACAATGAAAACAGCATATCTTTCAAAGCTCCACAATATCGTATTGTGACGTAATTAATGGTGGATAGTGGTGAGTTTCTGAGAAACACTCCCGTGGCGTAACATTGTGTTAAGATATTGTAAAATCTATTTGCCACACGCATCGATACGATATTGAATTCTGTATGAACGAGGCTGTATATTTTGCTCACTCAGGCTTTCTTAGTTTTATAAGCGTAGTGATTACCTAAATCGTCGGAGTTACGCCCCGAGAGTATAGCCAGACAGGCACTCTTTTCAGCATTTTATAAGTGTTCAGAGGAGTTGCTCGATTAATGAAGATGAGTTTTATCATCGGACGTCGAGGCAGAATACGAAATCCCACCAGTACCACCTCGACATTAACTAAGAGTTTTTTACCGCGCACCACCACTATGTGGAACCAGCCGCCCACTGAAGTATTTCCGAACCAATTCGACTTAGGGTCCTTCAAGATGACAGCGTAAAGCCATGGGCGGCTGTATCATTTAACATCAGTTGAGCCTCCTGTTACCCCTTGTTGTGTAAAAAAATATTGAAGCATTTAATTATTTATTGGTAATTATAGATTGGAAATATCCTCTATTTTTTAAGCCATCCCGTTGACTCAGGAACCGTATTAAACATTGAAAAACGTTTAAAATATTCAGACATTTGTATGGAATGGAATTATATGGGAACGAACATTGTGACACGAGAATTTTAAATAGGTATATAGAGATAAGACTATATTTAATACAAAATCAATGTGAAAATTCGTTTATTTAGCTATATATTAGTGAAGATAAAACCTAAGTGATTAAAAGCTAGTTCACTTTCAATAGTCCAGTCGCCAGAGGCAAAGGTATGTGCGATTAATTGCCTTATCGTACAGGTTTATTGATTCAGTAAGGCGATACGTTTTAATTAACGCCATCGCTCATTTGCCGTTGATTGGCTTCGAGAAAATCTCAACTAGAATAAACACTGTTTTTAACTATAATTTCCGTATTAAGTTTTAAAGGGTTTAGCCGCGAAATGCCAAAAAAGATTTCGATTATGAGAGTCATAGTTCTCGCTTAGTCTTAAGTCCGAACTGCAAGCGTGACGCAAGTAAAAATGAAGCGTCCCACGTGATAAATAATCATACTTCATATATATATGTGTGTGAAATTACAATG